CACACACACACACACACACACACACACACACTCATACACACTCTCTCTCTCACACACACACACACACACACACACACGTACAATATAGTATATATTAAAATACCTAAAACACTTTCCTGGGAAAAGAAAGACCAATAGTTTACCTTTTTTCCTTCACATAAAATAAATATGTGGGTTAGAGAGTTGTGTATAGAACCAGCTATCACTAACAGACAGAGAGAGAGAGAGAGAGAGAGAGAGAGAGAGAGAGAGAGAGAGAGAGAGGGGGGGGGAGAGACAGAGACAATCTATCTAATAGTGCAATGAGGCAGACGAAAAAATCCTTTCCTCTGATTGATGTACTTTTGTGGTCTTTACTCAAGGGTGTTCTCTTCGACTTCCTGACTCCCCCTTGAGGAACTCCTATCATTTTTGCCATGCCCGCCCTTCCGTTCTCCAAATGATAGTACTATCTTTAAGAGAACGGTAGGCTTATTTAGAAAAATCTGTCTGCCTGTCTGTCTGTGAGTGTGTCTGTCTGTCTGTCTGTCTGTCTGCCTGTCTGTCTGTGGGTGTGTCTGTTTGTCTGTCTGTCTGTCTGTCTGCTGCTGTCTTTCTCCCCCTTCTCTTGTTTCTGTCTCTCTTTGTCTCTTTATAACTATTCTCCCTCTGTCGCTTCCCCTTCTCTCTCTCTGTCTCTCTCTCTCTCTCTCTCTCTCTCTCTCTCTCTCTCTCTCTCTCTTATATCACTCTCTTTCACATCCACCTTTTTATGATTCCAAATGAAAGCACAAAAACAGTGCTGGCGCAGCCTTTGAACAAAATAATTGCGAGATTTCAGATTAAATCCGGGGAAGTTGTGATCGGCTTGGTAGGCAAATTGGTAGGCAAACGAAAGGAAAAGTCAGTCCAGACAGGAAAAAAAAAAAAAAAAAAAAAGAAGTGATGATCAATGCCTCGTGTATAATGAGATTGGGGCGGACACAGACTCTGGTCTAATCTGCCGGCAGATTACTCCGGTGAAAGCCGCAATCCTTATTTATAGCCGGTTTGTCGGCCCATCATAAAGGCGGCTCTCCCTCCCTAGTGGTTGGTTACAGTTCTTGTAGGATACGCTGCCGATTAAGTGGGGGTAGACCCTTTTCCGACAAGTCGAGTTTGTATAATTTGGCGGGGGTTAAAAACGGAACACCTCTGCCAGGCATGCCAAATTTTTGAGAAAATAAAACATTATAGTCTGCGTTTTTTCGTTCTCGGTATTACAATTTGTTCGTGGAAATTTTGACCTCCGCCTGTTTTGATAGACCTGTACTGTAGTAGTAGTAGTAGTAGTAGTAGTAGTAGTAGTAGTAGTAGTAGTAGTAGTAGTAGTAGTAGTAGTAGTAGTAGTAGTAGTAGTATTT